TTATGCATTCAAAAGGCTATTGCGAAATTCCATTGTATTGGCAAAACATCGGTGTAAAAAGTTCTGATCTTTGATCAGCCATTTGAAATTATATCATCAACAGGAAGACTGGATTTGGAAATTTTGCCTCTGCTTGAGATTAGAACATGAGCATATAGTCAATGCTTAGTAATGATACATGATTGTTTGGATAAGATACTGTTCAATGGTATCATCATCAGCTTGATTCAACATGGGACGCATATGAAAGCATGATTGATGCAATTGAGACACTCAACACATTTAATTTCTAAGCATCCGAATCGCTCTGATGGGCAAATCACGAAATTTGGTACTTTATCCGTTAACTTGCATTTTTTTCACGACTTTTCCACTTTCAAACCCTCATAACTTCCGTAAGTGTTCAGTATTTCTATATTTAAAACCAGCTTATTTCATAAAGCTTTTCAAGCTCTACAAAATGTGCCAAGTTTCTTAGCTCAAACATTGTTCCTTCACCCTGAAATTTGGTACTACATAAATGTGTCTTTCATTTTTGCCCAATATTTTCTACTTTAAGACCAGTCAAGTTTTTTTTATAATGAACGTATCTCAGAATATGATAGTTCATATGATAGAGAATTTTATTCTCTACAAAATGGTCACAACTTCTTCAATCAGTCCGCAATGAATCACCCCTCAAAACGGTCCTTTTCTGATATACCATCGGTATAAATTTTTGCTCATTCAAGAGCTCAACCACTCGTTGACCTGCGATTGCGCATGCTCTTCGCTGACTCCGCCCCTGCGCTCAGACGCGTTTCTATGGCGAAGTGCGACGACGCCATCGAAGTAACAAATATTTGAGATTTGATCCGAGTCGATCACTTGCATCGTTCCCCTCTCAGGTGGGAAATATTGGAAAGGCCTGGAGTGGTTGTGTTGTTAGATCAGCATTGTTTTTGCACGCACTCTCACGCCTCTGAAACATTTGCTTATTAAATGTTACGAATTTAATCAAGTTTTCATGGATTGGAATGGGGTTTCAGTTCAATGACTAACAAAAATGACGAACGCCGACGTGATAAAGGCTAACCTCAGCAAAGAGTTGAAATTGGTTGCTAAAAATACCTCTGATGAAGCAGACCTTAATGGAAGTATTCCTGAGTAAGTTTAATTTTATAATTCTGGATGGATTTTTTGTCGGTGAAAATGATGTAAATGTTATGGATGTTAACCAAGATTTGTGTTTGGGTTTGCGGTGATAAATCCCATTAGAGTGGCCATTACTAAGCAACATGAATGCATCAACTTCGAAGTAGCTCAATTATAATCAGTAGTATGTTTCTGATTTCAGTTGTATCACGCAGACATTGTGCAATATCGTTGAAGCGATCTTCATCCATGGTTTGAAGGATCCATTCTTTGTTCGAGGATCACGATATGCAAAATATCCTGAACCAGTTAGTGACTAGTCATTTTCTCATTCACTGATCACCTTACCAGATCGGTCTATTTCGATAATCGTCATTGCTCATAGAGTGGGATTGATTGACTGATTGATTAAATGATTGATACGGCGTGAACTTGACTTGTTTTTGATTTCACAGTTGTCGGTATGCTCTTTCTATCGATTTCTTGAATTAAGGAACGTTATTTTTTGCAGAACTTTTGGCCATTGTTGCACAAATATACTCATGTATCGATTATGAATCAAATAACAACAGCGAACCATATCAAAAGTGATATTGGCAAGGCACGGGTGTGTCGTTTTTGATTTCTTCTTCAATTCATGAAACTGTTCAACAAATTGTGAATGAATGTAAATGCAAATTATAAGCTTAACTCTGCTGAATTAAGGCTTGGATACGTATTGTGCTAAATGAGCATGCTCTGGAGCATTATTTAAACTTGTTCTGGCATGATCCAATCTCGATGTGTAAGTACTATGATAAATCAGCATATCTGCGAGATTTGGAGCATTTCAATCTGATGGTTGGCTGTGTGAAATCAATGTCTGAAATTGATCTGCTTCATATTCCCATCAATAGTCCATTTTTGAACGCATGGACACCGACACCACTGATACTATCGGGATTGGTGGCTGGTAAGCCAGCAAGATTGGAACAGCTTCGTCCACGACGTCGTGACCAGCAGAAGCCTTCCACCGAATTTTCCTCATCAGCACCAGAAAATGACAATCAGACCGAAGTAGCCGAATCCGCGCTTGATTTAATTGAACCGCCGTCACAACATTCTCTGCTTACAGCCTCATCTGCATTCAATGGTACTGCAGCAGCAGCAGAGGAGCGTAGTCCTGCTCCATCGAGGCCTTTGTCGAGGGGTTTAAGCTGCGATGATGATGATGTATCGTCAGTTTATTCACATCCATCCATGTTAGACGGTGGCTTGGATGCTGAACTTCGAATAAAACCATCCTTTATTCATCAACGAACTGCTGTTATTCTCGATGATTATGCGCCGTCCAGTCGTGCCATGACCACTCCAAATCAGCATTCTCACTATCCACTCTCAAGTACACCGCATAATCAGTTCATTTCTGCTCTTCTACCGCGCACACTTCAAAATTGCGATTCATCTTCTCCTTCTCATGAGGTGGTTTGATTGAAGTCATCTATTTGTTGTTATTTTTGTAAATCTTATTTTTAAGAGAAAGAGAAGAGTCAGTTCATTTTTGTAATTAAGTTTAGCTCGAACTGATGCAGTTACCACTATTAAGGTACGTGTTTTACGAAGACGCCATCGCGTACGTCGTACATCGAAGAGTAGCAGCGAGGATGGATCTCGGTCCAGAAGTGCTTCATCTTCAAATCTTCCTTCTTTATCAAAACAGCAGGTCCTATCATAAACACTATTCATTCATTTTCTTTCCCTTATTGAACAACAAGTATATTGTCTTTTGCAAATCATTCTAATTAGAAATTTTGGAATGATTTGGATGGTGAAACTTCTATATATATATA